CCGCTCATAGAGACTGCGTACTACAGTTGATTATAGTTCCTGGGCTCCCTGTGGTTGGATATGCCTTCTGAAGTCAAAAACAGTTATTATTAAACATTCAAAACACGAACAATAACTATGATAGGTAATAAATATTGGTTTACTAACCTTATTCCAATGAAATTAAAACCTTTGTGGTTTCAAAAACACACGAATGTAGCTGCTGCTCTCTAACACTAACGATTGTGACAAACATGGCGACTAAAATCATGTCCAGTGACAAACTACTATTAACTTAAGGGGTTCATCTACATAATATTATCTCACCGTCTAGCTGGTCCGCCCAGTGCCACTGTGGAGATAATACTATCTCACTGACTCGCTGGTCCGCCAGTGCCACTGTGGAGATAATATTATCTCATCGATTCGCTGGTAAGCCCAGTGCACCTGTGGAGATAATATTATCTCACTGACTAGCTGGTCCGCCCAGTGCCACTGTGGAGATAATATTATCTCACTGACTCGCTGGTCCGCCCAGTGCCACTGTGGAGATAATATTATCTCACTGACTCGCTGGTCCGCCCAGTGCACCTGTGGAGATAATATCGACTCACTGGTCTACCCAGTGCCACTGGTGACTCACTGGCAAATAGTGTTATCTCTCTCTGACCCAGTCATTCCCATGAATATTGTTTGATAACAAAACTGTGAAAAAATACTGTTCGTGAAGCCCACCGCTTGTCTTTTCACGCCATTCTCCAAATTTCGCCGTAGGTGGCGTCTTGTTTTTGACTTCAGAAGGCATATCCCACGATAACAGGTTTTCCTGCTGTATTATCATAACAATACTACATTATCACACATTTCGTGCATAAATGAAATAAACATGGACAAAATAATTCCATTTTGAAAAAATAAAGTGTTTTAGTCGATGTTTACCCAAATGTCATATATGACTACGATGTTCAACCAAAATAACTTGTCTATGTGTGTGTGTTGGTAACATTGCACGTTAGCGTCACTTGGGTGAACTTTACACTTCGTTATGATAACATTCGCACCAAAAGTGTCTCACAGGTATTTTCTATATATCTTCTAAATATAAAATCTTTGATACTTAGCCACCATTCTCCTGAACTTTTTTCCAATCGTGATATAATATTTGTAGAGTATAAAATAAATGAGGACTCAGCAATTGTTTGGGTATAGCATGAGCAGTGTGCTTCGTTGCTTTAACCTAAGAAATGTTGTAACTGGAAGCTTTGAAAGGCGGTGGTCGTCGCGGCACGCATGCGCGAGATAAGGGACGCATATGAACAAAGATGGCGACTTTGACTGTTGCGCAGGCTAACAAGTACAAACTGAGACGTTACGTTACTAAGTTACTGATGATTGGGAGGTATCGAAGGAGTCGCCGGCGGTAGTTAGTGTATGTTGCGTCTTGGCCAAAAATAAATAATCGTGATTCAATTAGAATAGCGCAATGGATTGTGGGAAAATCAATGTTTATCATCAACACGATTGTCACACATCTAAACTAACTGTGTCGACGAATCGTCCACCATGTCCCTAAAATGACATCCGTTATACCCTCGGTCATCACAGCATAACATAAGCTATATATTTCAATCTGGAAGAGAGAAATAATCAACCATGTTCGAGTCTGTCCAGTGAGCTTTGCACCAACATAACAATAATCGTGAAACTTT